AGGGAAACCCCTTGCACACAGACTATTTTAAAGGACATAATGCCGGGTGTTTTCTGACCTCTGCACAAAACAGTTCACTCACTTAAGGCCTGCTGCACACATCTTTTTCTGCCCAAAGGCAGAACAAACCCCAGACCAGAACCTCTCACCAAAACAGTCCTGTGAAACCATGCACATCAATGCACATAGAGTCCCCTAGAGCTGGCTCTCCAGCAAAACACCTTTAAATGAGCAAATGCACCACCACAACGTTCAACAAGCGGTCCCTCACAGCTGAGCCAGCAGACAGCTGGCGACTGGAAGAAGACTTACAAGAAGTTTCAGTGCTGATCGATGGGGCTATGATCGATGATGAGGCATTGACTCCATGTGCACATTGAGCTTCATTTCGTTATCGAGGATTTGTACAAGCTGCTGCATGGAAGGAAGGTGGCCAGACTCCAGCTTAGACCACACTGGAACATCTGCCACAAAACACAGTGGGGGAAGAAAAGCACCGTTACACTGACAAAGTCAGAAAACACACAGGGCTAGTTTAAACACAACATTTAAAAGATCTAGGAAGCTATGCCAGTTGATGCTATTTTATATGGAGGAAAATACCTGGATCAACAATGCTTCAAATCTCTGACTACACGAAAATCCAGTCCAACCTGGAGAACAGAGTCTAACACTGCCATCTAGAAGTACATTAGATGGATTTAGAGGTTCAAAATATCCATAGGCAGAATGTCTAAAAACAATTAGTGAGTGGCAGAATAGCATGCCAAGTTTTCAAACCATTGCTAAATCTTTGAAACTTGTGGGTCTCGTTAGTCTCCATGTCCCGCTGCTGAACATCTAAGACCCTGACAAGCTCTGCTTGAAAGATCTGGCTCAGGAGGTTCCACTCAAAGCAGCTGCAAACATTTATATTTCCAGGGGAGGGAGGCGACTAAAGTCCATAAATACTTCAGAGCGAACACAACATTCACTTCTGATGCTGACATTTACTCAAATATCCCTCACTGCTACAGCACTTCATGAAAAACACCATCGCTGTCATCTGCACAGAGCAAAAGCCAGGCTGGAACCGCACTGGCCCAAAACACAACCCAGGCTGCCCAGAGCAGAAGCCCAGGTGTGTAAGTTTTTACACAGCTATTTTAAAATATACATAACCAACATCTGTATAAACTGCTTTAGACTTCTAAGATTCTCATCACTTAATGTGATACGTAACACCTGAAGTTTCAAAATGGACAGCAATTGCCACATACCATCACATTTTGAAACACATTTCACAACATCATTCCTTGCTTTCCCAGCCTAACAGCTCCCACAGATCTGTGTACACATGCACACGATGCCATTCCCTGGCACAGGCAACTCTCAGCTCACCATTCAATGTTATCTCAAATGCACCTGTCGACATGCACTGGTTCTCAATCATGTTGCTCAGGAAGAAGACCATCATACAAGCGTAAACCTGGAAGAGAAGAGAGAGGATCCCAGACACTTCAAGCCATTGCATTTCACTCACTCCTAAAAAGCGCTAGAAGTGCACAGGTGTCTTTGAATTCCCCTCTGCAATTCATCAAGTGATCTTCAAATGGCAGAGACATCTTCTGTCACCTCCTTTTTAAAAAGACTGTGCATGTCCCTTCCCCAGACAGGTAATGAACAGCTCTGAAACCACCCAACCCACAACCCCGACTCAAACCAACTTCCATCTCCCCGCTCTTTCCTCCACAAACTCAGGCGCATCCCAACAGCCAAAGCCTGAGGCTGCAATGGCACATGCAGGACAGGAACACAACTGTCCCTGTGTGCTGTCTGTCACCGTCACAGCAATGTTGCAGGTCAGGGAACCACAGCCCCAGGCACCAACAGCAGAGCAGGTAAAACCACCTGTGCACAGGGACTGCCAGCCCTCGGGCATCTCCACACCCTCAGCTAGGATTCTGCCTGCACTGGTGCCGTGGGGTGAAACAATGCAGCACAGCATCCCCCTGTGTTAGCACCTTACAATCCCCTTTTCTCACACGTCCACACGGGTTACTGCAACACCAAAAGATTCAGGACCAGAGACGGTTGCTTACAATGTCTCAGACACCCAGAGCCAGCCCAGCTCGGCAGTGAACTTGGCCCATTTAAGTGAACAGGGTAAATTACAGCTCCTGTACATTCAAACTGACTGGCGACAGAGACCCACCACTCTGGCGAGCTCAGGATCTGTGCAGCAATAAATTATATAAAGGTTAATAAGGTTATCAATTGCTTTTGTTTAGCAGAACAAATCTGGAATAAGGTCATTACAAACCAGAGTTAAACGTTAATCTGTCAGCGTTGCCAGTACTGACTCACAGGGACAGATTCCCACAAGGCAGAGTCTGCCACCCCCCTGCATGTTCTGCAAAAACGCCCACAAATTTCAACATGATTCTTTTAATCCCCATCAAATCACCTGCCTGATCTATTAAAAGTCTGATGAAAGCAACAACTGCAAAATACCTATGAGACAACACAACAGGGAAGCTGTAATTTTAACACCAATGATACCAGCTTGAAACTGCTCTGGAGCCCTAAAAATTAAAAAAGTCTTCTATCATCTTTATCAGTAACATTCACAGAATCACAGAATGTTAGGAGT